AATTCGAGATGGCTTTCAAGAAAACTGATGACATTAGTCGAAGTTTGAAGATCTCTGAAGAAGAGCTGAAACAGGAAGAGATTCCTGTTGAGGTGGAGCATAGTGATGTTGAGTTGCATAACCCAGATGAATTCAAAGAAGAATCTCAAGTTGCTGATGAAGATGAGGAACTGATAATGACTACTTGCTGGTAAGAGATGGGTTGAGAAGAGTCATCTAGCCACCTTAGAGACTTGGTTATGTAGATCTCATAGCTTATGCTTTAATCTCTGCAAGTGAGGTTCTTGACGAAGAACCTAGAGACTTCAAAGAAGTTATGAGAAGTCGAAATAAGACTGAATGGTTGAAAGTCATGGATGATAAAAACTAGTTTGTACCTTATTAGTGTAGAGTTTGTTCCAAGGTGAAAATCTGTGGTATTTTGGATTGAATTCTTGTGTCGACAAAGGTAATTTCATGGTTCGGCAGGAGTTGTGCATGCTAGAGTCGAAGTTTGTTTAAATATGTTATCGAAATATGTTAGCTTTGTGTCTAAGTTAGCATGACGAATTGAGTTTTGCTTATAAGCTCAATTGTTAAGTTAGCTTGTAGCTTAAGTTAACTTAATAGTTTATAAATAAACCAATTCTCTCAAGTTGTTGAGAGAGATTAATTGTTAGTATTCACTTATAATCTTTGAACCCTTATTGAGTAAGTAAATAGTAAAATAGTTTTAATCAATTATTCTTCTTGTTCTTTCTTTTTCTCTATCTTTTGTGAAACCTAATACAGTTTCTTATATTTGTTCAAGAAACTCAATCTTTTTTTTATATTTTAGTTTGTTCTCAACGACATCAATTCACAACAAAAGCATATTCTAATAGGCTACCACAATAGTCAAAAGAAATAAAAATCTCAAATAAAATAATATAATTTAAATTTTTTAAAGAATTAATAAATATTCATCTATTTATAAATAACAAATATTTTTTAAAAAAAATTTTGATATGTACGAAAAAAAATTTCTTGAAATAATTTTAAAATTTTTGTTGATTCTCTTCCAATTTTTAAGAACATATATTTTGCATATATGCTAGTATTATTACCTTTAATTATTTGACTTATGAATCATGGATTTTGGTTTTAGTCCGTGTACCCGCTGTTAATGGTTTAATCCTGAAGAATATGTACCACATATATATTAAATCATAATAAGTAGTAATTATAATCTAACACTAATAGAATGAAAAATGGGCGGTTAACCCCATCTCTAAATTCAAAGCGACGTCGTAAAACGAAGAAATGTATTGATTGACCGAGTTAAACAAACCGAAACCGCATTATAAGGAAAGAGGCATATGCCGGAATATTTTTTTACAAAATAGAATTTGTTTTGTATTTACTATTTTCTGAGCCCTATAAAATCTTCTTCTGCTCTCTCACATCACAACACTGATCTATCTATTCTTCATTTCTTTATAGTTTTAATTTCTTCTTACACCAATATTATAGAAATAAGTATCTTCTTACACTTCAAGGTTAGTTATTTTCTGTCTCTTTTTTAATCATTATTCTTTTCTTTGTATTAACAATAGCATTATCATCTAGATCTCATGTCGCATTCTGTGCATGCATCATGTCATTATCACACAATCATGTCATAAATTTGTAATATTTGTGGCTGAAATGGACTCCTCAATATGTTTTATGCTAAGCCTTAATAATTATTTCCATGCATGCTGTTGTTTTGTCATGATTTGATGTAGTAGTAGTATTTTGAGAGTATTCAATTGAAAATCTGGTGATGAAAAAAGCTGAAAGGCTTTGAAATTTTTATATTCTTTTGTGATATATTTGCATGCATCTTTTACGTATCTGTGGTTGAATTTCAATTTCCAATGAGGTGGTATAACGGATGGTGTAAGTATGATAGGTTGATTGCATCTGATAACATCTTTAATTTAATTATTTATGAAATTTTTATTCTATGGAAATTTGATTCTTGGTTACTTTTTTTAGGAAAGGCAAGAAGAGAGAAATATAAGGATATTAGTGACTTTAGCTTGAAAATTCATGGCAAAGGAGGTGCTAAATGCACTTGATGTGGCTAAAACACAATGGTATCATTTCACCGCAATCATCATAGCCGGTATGGGGTTTTTCACAGATGCATACGATCTTTTCTGCATTTCCCTTGTTACCAAGTTGCTAGGCCGTATATACTACCATGTTGATGGTGCAGCGAAGCCAGGATCACTGCCTCCAAATGTATCAGCTGCGGTAAATGGGGTTGCTTTCTGTGGTACACTTTCAGGGCAGCTTTTCTTTGGCTGGCTTGGTGATAAGATGGGTAGAAAAAAAGTCTATGGCATGACACTCATGATTATGGTTCTTTGTTCTATTGGTTCTGGCCTTTCTTTTGGACACACTCCAGACTCTGTCATGATAACTCTTTGCTTTTTTCGCTTTTGGCTTGGATTTGGTATCGGTGGAGACTACCCGCTTTCAGCTACCATAATGTCAGAATATTCTAATAAGAAGACTCGTGGTGCCTTCATTGCTGCCGTTTTTGCAATGCAAGGGTTTGGAATTTTGGCAGGCGGTATATTTGCAATCCTAATATCTGTTATATTCAAGGCCAAATTTAATTCTCCGTCTTATATGGTTGATCCACTTGGTTCAACCGTTCCACAAGCAGACTATGTTTGGAGGATAATAGTGATGGTAGGAGCACTCCCAGCCGCACTGACTTACTATTGGCGGATGAAGATGCCAGAAACAGCTCGTTACACCGCCTTAGTAGCTAAGAACATGGCACAAGCCGCGGCAGATATGTCTAAGGTTCTACAAGTTGAGATTCAAGCTGAACCAGAGAAACAGGACGATTCAAAGGTTAAACCATATGGTTTGTTCTCAAAACAATTTCTAAGTCGCCATGGACTACATCTTCTTGGTACAGCATCCACTTGGTTCTTACTTGATATAGCATTTTACAGCCAAAATCTATTTCAGAAGGATATCTTCAGTGCAATTGGTTGGATACCTCCTGCACAAACCATGAATGCACTTGAGGAGGTTTACAAAATTGCAAGAGCTCAAACACTTATTGCTCTTTGCAGTACGGTTCCAGGCTACTGGTTTACCGTGGCTCTCATTGACAGGATAGGAAGATTTTCAATTCAATTGATGGGATTTTTCTTTATGACCGTCTTCATGTTTGCGCTTGCCATTCCTTATGATCATTGGACTCATAAGGATAACCGAATTGGATTTGTGGTATTGTATTCCTTGACTTTTTTCTTTGCAAATTTTGGACCTAATGCTACGACATTTGTCGTACCGGCAGAGATTTTTCCGGCTAGATTCCGTTCTACTTGTCATGGAATATCCTCCGCAGCAGGAAAGCTTGGCGCTATAGTCGGTGCATTTGGGTTCTTGTATTTGGCACAAAACCAGGATAAGAGTAAAGCAGATGCAGGGTATCCTGCCGGTATTGGAGTGAAGAATTCACTGATAGTATTGGGTGTGGTTAACATTTTGGGATTTTTGTTTACTTTTTTGGTGCCTGAGGCAAATGGAATATCATTAGAGGAAATGTCAGGTGAGAATGAAGAGGAAGTTGAAGCTACTGAATAGTTGGAGCATTCTCATTCTAATAACCAATGAACAGCTTCACTTGTCATAATTAGAATAAAATCGTATCTTTCAATTTGTTTAGGAGGCATACAAAAGCATTCCCTTCCCTTTCCGAGAGTTCAGTATCTTTTAGTTTGTTTAGGAGGCACAAAAGCATTCCCTTTCCGTCTTCTGCATTTTTTATAAATTTTTTGTTACAAATGGTGTTAAACAATTTGATTATGTAGTAATTACGATTTCAATACAGTTTTGCCCAATCCATCTGTTTAGTTTTTTTTTCTAATTATTTTCAGATTTCTAAATTTTTTACTGAGCTAGTGTTATCGAAGTCTTACATAGATATGAGTATAAATAGCAAAGAACCAATATTATTGTCTAGCGTCTACTTTGACAGTTTTTTATTTCCTTGTGAGTACGGACAATAAACAACAAAATATTGAAGTTGGACAGACGTAAAATGATTGACCCTTATGCTACTAGTTTACAGCATATGCTTTCAGCACTAGGTCGCATGTACAAAACAAAACCAATTGAAACCAATGGAAACCTTTTCAATTTTGGTCAATAAAGAATAAGATTCCTTAAGAGAAAGTTTTTAAACCATCCTTTATGGCATAATAGTCAAACTTTTATAAAAAACATACATTTGTATTCTTTTACAACTTAAAAATTCTGTACCACTACACTCACTTTTAATTGTTCCTCGTATAATTTCTTTGGGAATTGCATCAATCAAACAAAAAAAATCCATCTTCCTCGTATAATTTCTTTGGGAATTGCATCAATCGAACAAAAAAAATCCATCTTTCTTTTTCATTTGAAATTTAAAAAAAATCCATCTTCCTCGTATAATTTCTTTGGGAATTGCATCAATCAAACAAAAAAAATTCATCTTTCTTTTTCATTTGATATTTAGAAAGAGCCTGAACTCTTATGGGATACAATCATCGTAAGCTTGAATTGGACATTTTGCTCATTTTACAATCATGATGAACTACTGATGACAAATGTACTTTGCTCATGACATATTTTCTCTATTACAATCATGATAATTTAGTTTCAAAAGCATCAACTGATAAATGCAGGTTTTGAAATTATCTATAGATACCAGAACATGACAAGTTATCAAATTAATAGCAAAGGATTTCAGTATCCAAGACATAAGGATCCATAAATTCAAACTCATACAGTACAGTCAAGCAGACTGGAATTTACAACAGTAACTGCTTAAAGCTTAAACCCATCATCAACCTCCATAATCCAAATTCATATTTTTGGAGGTACATTTTTGTGGCTAGATGGGTTTTGTAACTTATAAAGCAAGGACAGATAATTCATTAAACGTAAACGATTTTGATGAGAACATCAATAACTTCATTAAAGTCTCAATGTGCTCGGTCCCTCAGCACTTCAAGATCCATTTCTGTGGGATCAGTAGCCTGGATTTCATAATGGACACCATCTAGCTCGCGTCTAAACCTTTCTTTAGTTGTGGCATAGAGCATCTTAGCACGGATTCGAGAAGTTGAAGGAGACCTGGTCAATAGCAAGCGCAATTAATAAACAAGAATGATAATCTCAATGGCAGAATCAGAGAAAGTAAAATAACTTCCAACTCAAGTTTGTCCTTTACAAGAACAAGAGGAAGACAACTCCCAGTAAGACATTCATTTACTAAGCAATAAAATTGGCATGCAAAGTCAGATATAATTACGACAATCGAGAATTTCTTATTAGGAAGTAGCAGCAGCAAAGATGTCACTCAAACAAGATATCGACAATTACAGAGTAGTTTTTCTATAGGCAATCAGATTGAAAATTCTGCCGGCCACATAGTGCTTAATCGATTCAACATGAAAAAATTCTTATCGATTCATTTGTAGAAGTTTGTCTGAGAAGCAATGAAAGTATGAAAGCTTGACTTACAATTTTGGTTAATGAATTAAACATGAACCATGGCAAAGATTACTGTTTCCTTCCAGAGCCCATCATCCGATTTCAGGACAATAAATTACCCCTACACCTATGTAGCACCGACACCTCTGGAAACATGTGTGTCTGTGTCCATGTCGGACACATGCACCGACACCTGTGATTATGTTCGACTCATTCTCAAATTATTACCGGTGTCGGTGTCAGTGTCAGTGTGAGAGCCAAATTCGGGGTGTCCGTGCTTCATAGCACTACTCTAATTAGGGTCTTAGAGGGAAAGAACAAGATCCGTAGAAAACTAGGGAGATAGAGAGGCAAAGCGTCCCCCTTTGAATGGCCCATGGACAATTTCCATCCTCTTGAGGAATACTATATCATCACACAAATATTTGGCTCTATAAACTGAATTTTATGAAATGAAAGGAATTGAAACATTTGAAAACACCCTAAATGTTATAAACATTAAAATCTAAAGTTACAGCTTGACAAATTAAACACTACCCTGCCCAAAAAAATCCGAAAAATTTACTCATAGTATTGTTGAGCTGAAGCATAAAGATGTTTGACAGTGTTTTATTTGTCACACTATTTCATATTAGCATAAAAACTTCTAGCCAGTAATGCTCTATCAGCTACTTAAATGTGCTTGGGAGAAAGAAACAAAACTCATGAAAAAGTATATGTCTGACAGCTGCAACTAGAATAGAGATGGGGTAATTTGAAGCACATGGAGTTAAATATTAGAATACTTTCATTCTACAACACTTAGTAAAATAAAAAACCAACATTACATCAAAACAATAACACGATAAATTTAGGCCAATACAGTGAAATAATACATATACCCTCAGAATCAGAGAAATGCAAAAAAAAAAGACTCTTTTGACAGACTCAAATTAATCACATGGCATAGTTATTTAGCAACTGCAAAACATATGTGTTGCGCATGAATCATAATATCATATGCCACTTGCACAAGAAAATGCATAATGGATGTCTTGCCTTCCAGAGGAAGTGTATGTTTGGTTTTCATTTTAGAATAGTCAAAAGCAATCCTAGAGGTGTAAAATTGATTTTGTAATGATTTTAACATGTTTAATTCTTCTAAACTAGAACTGATTATGCCTCGAGAATTGATTTTACTTGAAGCTACAAATTTGTAACTTTTGAGTCTAAAATTTCCTGACCAACTCAATTTTCCATAAAGTCATATAAACATAAATCACTTTTAATCAAAATCAATTTTCTCCACCACATAACCAAACATAAAGGAAACTAATAAGGGAGTAAAAAACTAACCATGCAATGAAGAAGATTTTGCTCTTTTGACAATTCTCAGAAGTAACAAAATCATAATCAAACACAGCATATCTGCAATCATTCTCCGGCAAAGAAGCAGCGAAATCATCATAACTCTCAGCAGGACCACCCGTCTTTTCAACTACAACCTCTCTTTTCTTTTCATCCACCTTAAAGATAACATAACGATGAACCTTCTTCTGCTTCAATTCCAAGAAAGTACTTTTGCTATTCTCATCAACACCCATGCCAGATGAGGCATTCGGCTGCAATCATAACACAAACACATTCAAATCCAAAATATTTCTAAAAATAAATTAACCGTGATTAAAATCCCTAATCCAAAATACATCCAAAAACATACTGTTACTAAAATCATGCTTCAAAGGTGAAAAACCCTAAGCGATCAATTAATGAACCCTAAAAATAAAGAAAATCGATGATGTTAGAGAGTGATTATGTTACCCGGCTGAGACCTCTGAAAGACATGGAAAATTTTGAAGAAACGAAGGAATGAAAATTGAGTGTAGTTTTAGGGAAGAGAGTTTGGAGTGGGTTTTATAAATAAAATAGTTAAGAAAAAATAAAATGATAAGAGTGGGGCGGTGCGTTGAGGCAACGCTAACGAGAACAGAATTGAGGGAGTGTGAAATAATGCATCACATATTTAAGATTCTTCACCGCCTATGGACCCCACTTTTGTTCACTGCTTGCGTTAGCAGTTCAAAATCCACGTTCGATTCGCTGCATATAAAATTATATTTTTTAATATTTGTCACATTTTTATAGTAGTACTAGTATATTATAAATAAAAATATTTTTTTTAAATATTTAGGAATGACTTACTCTTGCATAGTACTAATAGCTAATGAGCGAGTGATGATTAAGTGCTTATTAAGATCGACTACCTGAATCTGACTATTCAAACTAATCAGAGATGAATATAATTTATTAAATTAATACTGTATTATTAGTATTAATATTTTATTAATCATTAAAAAAATGTTGAAGCTGAGAAACCTGGCCATTAATTTCTGTTTCTTTTTAATCAAAAATAATTTTTATTCACTTAAAGCTAGTTTTGCGTTTGAGCTAAGGGTGGACAAGATTTTTAAAACCAGTGCAACCCGTTCTATCCAATAAATCCGCAAGCAAGTTGGTTGAATCGTGCGATATTTTGTGTAGCTATTAGAAATTTCAAAAATAACGAGTTTTTTAAAAATTTTGATATTGTGTATTTATTTTAAAATTTATATCGAGAATTTCAAATTTTCTGATGCTTATATTAAAATTTTGTATACTGAAAATTTCAAAACTGAATCTCATTTTTTATACTGAAAATTTCAAAAAATTTTATAGTTATAAAAATCTAGTTTTGTATGGGAAATTCTGAAATTTTTGGTATATTCCATGATTTTTGTACCGAAAATTTTGAAATTTTTGGTATGTGCAGAAACTTTATTTTGTATCGAAAATTTGAAATTTCTGGTAGTTGTCAATTTTTTTTTATTTTGATTTATTTTCTTCTTTTGCAATGAAATTTAGAGGCAGAGACGACAATATTGCAGGGAAAGCTGTTGATCGAGCGACAGATCAGAGTAGGGCTGCCAGAGGTGCTGACATTGAGTCTTCTTAGATACAGGCAAGACGAATGGTCGTTCGAACTGCAGTATAGCGGCAAGAAACAAAAAATTTGGAAGAAATTCATCTGGTTTTTATCGTGTCCACAGGGATAGGTGCAAGGGAAAGAATGTCGTTCAACAATTTTTATCTCTCTAAGCTTGGGTTTAAATGGTTTGAATGAATAAAGATATTAACAAGTAAATAATGCATTCTTTGGAGAGGAGAGAACTCGTTAAGAATTGTATTTCATCTACCCATCAAATACTAAAAAATCTATCAATCAATTGTATGCAACCTAAATCACTCGTCAATATTATCAAATATCGCTCACAACAGAGGTTATGTCTAACGCAAAGTTAATAGAACAATTGTATTGTCTCATCGATGATGTCTCACGCAACTCAACAACCCAGAACATTAAGAACTGATACACATGCGAATGTTATACCTAAATTTATGTCTACAGTTTAGAATCTAACAGATGTTCATCTTAGATCGAGTTCGAACCGTATATGTCTATAGCAATCCAAACTCATTAAGATAAATATTAAAATCAAAGATAATCATCGATAAAAATTTGTAAAAGAGATTTTATACAATAATCAATAAATATACATACAATCAAGATACACTTACATACAAAACTCCAACAATAGATGATACAAAGAGAAGAAAGAAGATGAACAAGAATCTCTCAATTTGTCAACGTCGATTGAAGAAAATCCAACTTCAGATCATCAAGATATACACTCTAATGTTGTTTCTAAGCATCTATACTTAAAAATATGTTGGTGATGAAGTTGGGGTTAAAAGATCTAAAAAACATAACCTAAAAAATGTTGAAAAGGTGACTTTATAGGCAAAAATGAATTCTCGCAATTGATGTGCGAGCTCCAGCTTGCTAGGCGAGCATATCATACTTAGTTTATGTCTCTATAGTGCTTTTCCACTCCTCTGGGTCTCTTTCCGCTCGCCTAAGCTCGCACAACGAACTCGTCTTCAGTTCGCCTAGCAACCATGACAGAAAACTCAGCTCTTGCTTCGACCATAACTTGAGAACCGTAACTCCAATTTACACACGGTCGAAAGCATTAGAAAGTTTATTCAATTATCTATAAGACAATCATTAAATATCATTGCTTGAATACCTGCAAAAATGAGATGAAAATAATTAAACTCAATGATATTTACACGATAACGCATTATATACACTATAACATAAATTATACAAAATATACACAAAAGTTTAGGTTTATTGGTATAAAATGAATGAATTAAGCCTATGAGTGCTAATTATTCACACTCAAAATCACAACTATTTAGCACTCATCAGTGGCTCCAACTAGTTCACACAGGAAGTGGTTGGCTGAGCAGGGTCATTTCCTAGAGATGAGGTGGTTCCATATGTTGTTGTTGATCTGGTGGTTGAGGAGGCTGTAGATCTGGTTGTTGATTCGATGATTGAGTAGGTTGCTGAGGATGTTAGTTAAGAGGTTGTTAAGGAGGTTGATTTGGAGGATGTTGGTTTGGAGGAGGTTGCTCAGGTGGTCCAGCCAGATGTTTTATTGTTGATTCGGTCCCACCGATTACTATTGATACAGAGGTTAGTGCTTCTTCGACTGAGCCCTCTGTGGATATTGATGAAGGATTCCCTAGAGGACCCATCGACCAACCAATGCTTACAGAGTATGCTGACCATGCGGCCTTACGACTATGACGGGGCGAGGTATATGTCTTTTATGTTTAACTTTAATTTTTTATATATATGTTTGTCACATGAGGTATCAACTAATTTATTTATATGTTTTTGTCACATGAGCAACCCACACTGAAGGTGACATCGCACGGATCAAAGATGAAGGACTTCCCGAAGATTCTGATGCCTGAGCAAGTCATTCGGATTATACGGCAGTTCCAGCTGCTTGATTTTGCCCATTGCTCCTTCACCATGCTCGATGCTCTATTACTTAGTGTGTTTGTTGAGAGATGGCACAAGGATACATCTTCATTTCATCTACCGTTCAAGGAGATAACTATCACTCTGGATGATGTCTCTGCATTGTTCCATCTCTCCATCGATGGAAGATTCTAGGCGGCTCACGTTCTTAGCATAACCCTTGCAAGTCAGATTGTTGCAGGAAATTTGGGAATGTCTAAGGCGGAGGTGCAGAATGAGTTTGGTGAGACCAGGGGCGAGCACCTTCATATGTCTTGGCTTCGGAAGACGTATGATCAACTTGTAGTTGTTGGGAGGTATGAGGTTGCCACTAGGGCGTACATGCTACATATAGTAGCATGTACTCTCTTTGCGAATAAGTCTGGTGTTTATATCAATTCCCGATACGCATGCCTCTTCAGTAGCCTCGAGGACACCAGTTGAGCTTAAGGGTGTGCTTTGTTGACCCTTCTATATACGACTCTTGGAGTGGCGATGGTCTTTGAGACCAAACAACTTGCTGGCTATTTGAGTTTGTTGCAGGTATACTTGAAATGATTATTTGTTATTGATTACTTATTTAATTGTTACTAACAACATTTCTTATTTATTATTTGTTGCGTCTCTGCTTTCATATCAGTGATGGATATACGAGCATATCTCCTCCATTTGTGATAGGAGGGTGCAACATTGTGAGGTGGGGTCCCCACGGGCGAAAGATGGAAGGCCAAACAGGCATATCCTGGCGGTGTTACTGAGTACAGGAGGAGGCTCGATGCGCTAACTGTAGATGATGTCATCTAGACACCAGAAACTACTAATAGAGTCCATCATGAGTTTGAGGAGTCGTCTTGATTTTCGTTCAGTATAAAAAATTTCATTATAACTACCATAAATTTCGAACAAAAATTTGATTCATTTTTCATCTAGGGGCAGTTTTAGAAATATGAAAGATTGAGGTGGTGCATGTATAAAATGGGGGGGGGGGGGGGGGGGGAGGGGTTGCAAGGTAAAATTCTCAGTTTGTTCAAGTTACTCAGATCGACAAAAGTGGGTACTGATGGATAACTTCGATCGGTCCCAGATGGATGAAATTTACCCATTATAATTCAAATTTATCTGATGCTATAAAAAATAATATTCGGTCACATTAGTAGACTAGTAGCACAAAGAATATGTAGTGGTTGAAACTACATTTTTTTCTTCTAGTTTTTCTATTGCAATTAAAGCACTTCATGACCCATCTTTTCATCTTAACTTTTTCTTACTAACATACATTGAAAAATAATTAAAATAATATATTTTATTATTATATTTTATTCCATCAAATCATATCATGTTTTTTTTAGAGATCAAGTCGCTCATTTTTCTTTTTATTTTTCTGAAAATACACTTGCATTCACTTTGCTATCTTAGTCATCATTTCAGTATTTCTTCTTGATCTTTTGTCCTTTATCTCGTCTCTTTAAAATTCTTAATTTATTTCACAAGCATTTTTAGTTGATTGTTATACTATTTTATTTTAGTTATGGTTGTCATATTTTTATGAGATGTTAATATTTTAAAGGATTTTAACAGAAAGTTTTAAGAGTTTCAATTTCTTCCAAAAAATTTATTCTTTTAAGAGTTTTAAATTGGTTTTTTTTCTCGAGAGTTTAAAGTTTACATTGATTTCAATTTGTTTGAAACCATCCAACAAAACTAAAATCTGATTAAACCATAAACTGACTTAAATGAATAGTAAAATAGATGGAAATGGTTTGTGTTCTTCCACCCGCGATTTTCTCAGGATGAATGGTTTTCAATCCGAAACCAATCATAACGGACCATTGTTGTAACACCCTTTTCTACCCCACAGATATTACGGCAAAAATAACACAGATTTTAGAGTAAAATATTAAATTTCATAAAAAGCCACCAAAAGGGCGTA